ATAATTTACCACGATTAGGAAAGAAATAGAATTAGACAGAGGGTGATCGAGAGAGAGAGTAGACGAAGAGAGAGAGAAGAGAGAGGAGAGAGAAGAGAGAGAAAAGAGAAAAAGGTGAAGAGAGAGCAGAGCGAGAAAGCGAGCCGAGCGTGGAGAGAGACCGAAACGAAATAAAATTAGAAAAGAGAACGAGATAGCGGAAAGGAAGAGAGTGTGAGCAGAGAGACAGACAAGACACAAAAAACAAGAAAACGAGAAAGAGCGAGGGATAAAGAAGGAGAGCAGACGGTAAGAGCGAGAAAAGAGAGAGCAGAGAGAGAGAGAGACGAGAGAGCGGGTGATAAAAGAGGGAAAGAGGGAGGTCAGCCGAGAGAGAGAGAGAGCAGATCGAGAGCGAGAGAGAGCGACACCACAGAGCGACGCGAGAGACAGACAGAGAGACCAAACAGAACGCCACGGCAGAGAGAGAGAGAGAGAGAGCAGAGAGAGAGAGACGAGAGAGAGTCATCACTCAGCTGCTCCATCTTTATTCTCCTGTTCATCTGCCACACTTCACCCTACCGGCACATGTTATCACCACAGCCAATCACCAATCTCCCATCAATCGCACCTCCATGAGTGCGACGCGGGGACAGCACGTAAAAAAGTTGTCTACTGCTAACAAGCACATCGCAGCATAAAGCGGCCGAAAACAGCCGCGGTCGTCAATAGCCAAGGAGCAGTCGCTTACAAGGAAGCGTCAGGTGACTGGACAGACAGGGGCGCCCACTGAACTATAACAATATAGTTATATTGTAATATCAGTGCGACCGCCATGTGCTGGACAAGCCGGACAACACTAAGCATTAGAGCGTCCCAAATGAGACACACTTATTAATCAACACCTCTCTTTATCTCGCTGCGCGCGCATGCAGCTATCGTTATCTCAGCTATCTGTTTATCTCAGCTATCTGTTTAATCGCGCGTACCATTTTTATCGTTTTCCTTCTTTCCTTTATCTATGTTATCCGCGCCCTTATCCTCCTTCCTCTCTCTCTCTCCTCTCTCTCTCCTCTCTCTTCTCTCTCTCTCTCTCTCTTCTCTCTCTCTTTCTCTCCTCTCTCTCTCTCTCTCTCTCTCTCTCCCCTCTCTTTCTCTCTCTCTCTCTCTCTCTCTCTCTCTCTCTCTCACTCTTTCTCGCTCTCTCCTTCTCTCGCTCTACTCTCTCTCGCTCGCCTCGTCTCTATCGCTTTCCTCTCTCGCTGCTCATTCCTCTCTCCCTCCCTCCCCTTCTCTCTCATCTCTCTACCTCTCTGTCGCTGTCTCTCTTCCTCTCTCCTCCTCTCTCTCCTCTCTCCATTCCTTCTCTCCCTCTTTCCCTCCCCTCTTTCCCACTCTCTCTCCCCCCTCTCTCTCTTCTTCTCTCCTCGATCAGGCTCGTGCACGGATATACGCACTGTTGATAACATCAACATCACGATGGACAAAATGCACACCTATTTTGTTGACAACAAATTAAGCCTCATCATAACTGCAGATCTGAAATCTGTCACATGCATGACCGCGTTCTCATGCACGCATCACTAAAACAAGGAAACGCAACGATGCGTGTTAACCCAAGAATTCCGCCCGAGAGAGCGAGAAAAAGCTCTTCCGCGAAAAAAGACATGCGGAAAACAGACGGAAGATAGCCTCTCTATGGCCCCAGTTGCTGATATCACGCCGCAAATCCCGTCCCCGTTAGAAGCCCGTAAGTGAAGCGAGTGTTCGTCCATCCGATGGGCCCAATAGTTACCGCCGTTCAGTTACAGTTTCGCGACAGACGATGGTTCTGCATATACGGCTGCGCATAATCCATTTCATCAGACGTTGAATCGAGATTTTTCTCCACCGCAACTAACGCGCGGGATCTCAGTCAGCAGACGACACACATCTCACCTATAGAAACGGATCAACATGACTTCCCACTCAGCTGATGATTACTATAAACTGGCCATATCTGTCTTGTCTACTCTATATAGCCTTCACTCTCTATCGTATATGGCTCTTCTCCCCTCTCTCTCTCTCTCTCTCTCTCTTCTGTCTCTCTCGCTCTCTTCTCTCTTCTCTCTCTCTGTCTGTCGTGATCTCCTCTCCTTTCTTCTCTTCTCTCTCTCTCGTCTCTCTTTCTCCTCTCTCTCTCTCTCTCTCCTCTCTCTCTCTCTCTACTCTCTCTGGGCTTCTCCTCTCTCCTCTCTCGTCTCTCTCTCTACTCTCTCTCGCTCTCCTCGCTCTCTCTTCTCGCTCTCTCATCTCTCTCTCTCTCTGCTCTCTCTCTCTCTCTCTCTCTCTCTCTCTCTCTCTCTCTCTCTCTCTCTCTCTCTCTCTCTCTCTCTCTCTCTCTCTTCTTCTTCTTCGTCTGTGTGTGTGTGTGTGTGTGTGTGTGTGTGTGTGTGTGTGTGTGTGTGTGTGTGTGTGTGTGTGTGTGTGTGTGTGTGTGTCTATCTGTCTATCAGTCTTTTTCTCACTCTTTCTCCCTCTCCCCTTTCCCTCTCGGTGATTCCCCAGTCTCTCTCACACACCTCGGTCTACAGTTATCTTCCCCCTCTGATTCCCTTGTTTCTCCAGTATGTTATAATATAGTCATGGTTCGGGGAAACTGGTCACTTTATAATAATCAAAGACTGGTAGAAACAATTCTCGTATCGCCCTAGTAGTTGTTATAGGCTTCGTGGCAAATTATCATGTAGCAAGGGGAAGACCTGTGCTAGCGAATGCCTAATACCTGCAAAAAATATTCGCATTCTGTTTCATTTATAGTTTTAAAATAATATGCGAATGATCGTTGCAGTACATTAGCATTCAAATTTCATTTTGCTGGCATATTTTTAATGACGCAAATGTGCTCTGTCCCGGCTGAAGTATCCCTAATAACAGTTAAATCAGTCGATAGATGGCGATATGTGTCCAGTGGGGGTATGCAACTGTATGTCCAGCTTTTCTCAAATAAACGAATTAATGCACTTACTTCTTAATGTGCCCAGTATCTGTTAAAATAACGAGTTTATATACAAGTAATATATACACATACATGTATCTGAGAGAATGCTGCCAGAAACATTATGTCCGGGGTACCCTGCAAGCTAGGGCGTCGTACCATCTTTTACAAGAGCCATATCAATAGACTTTTATCCAATAAATCTAGTCATGGGTACCCCGCTTCAGTGTAAATACGTTTTTGAAACAAAATATCAATTATTTAGTGAGTTACTGCGCATGCGCAAACCCGCATTTTAGCCTGTGGAACATAGATAAAATTCTATGATATTTCCTAATGTGGCAGGCGGCAATATCCTGGGTTGCATATGCCCAGTATGTGCTAAAATGACGAGTTTTTAGGCGAATATATACACGTACATGTATCTGAGAGAATGCTGCCAGAAACACCATAGCTTACAGGGTACCCCGGACATAATGTTTCTGGCAGCATTCTCTCAGATACATGTACGTGTGTATATTCGCCTAAAAACTCGTCATGTTAGCACATACTGGGGCATATGCAACCCAGGATATGGCCGCCTGCCACATTAGCAAATATTCTAAAATTTTATATTTGTTCCACAGGCTAAAATGCTGGGTTGCGCATGCGCAGTAACTCGCTAAGTAATTGATATTTTGTTTCACAAATGTATTTAAACTGGAGAGGGGGTATCCGTGAGTAGATCTCTCTGTAAAAAGTTTATTGCTATGGCTCTTGTAAAAGATGGTACAACGCCATAGCTTACAGCGTTCCACTGACATTTCAGCGTCGTACCATCTTTTACAAGAGCCATAGCAATAGACTTTTATCACATAAATCTACTCAGGGGTACCCCCGCTCAAGTTTAAATCCGTTTTTTAAATCAAAATTTTAGTTATTTAGTGAGTTACTGCGCATGGGCGAACCCGCATTCTAGCCAGCGGACAAATATAGAATTCTAGAATATTTTCTAATGTGGCGGGCGGCCATATCCTGGGTTGTATATGCTAACATAACGAGTTTTTAGGCAAATATATACACGTACATGTATCTGAGAGAATGCTGCCAGAAACACTGAAATGTCAGGGGAACCCTGTAAGCTATGGTGTCGTACCATCTTTTACATGAGCCATAGCAATAGACGTTTATCACATAAATCTACTCAAGGATACCCCCTCTCCAGTTTAAATACATTTGTGAAACAAAATATCAATTATTTAGTGAGTTACTGAGCATGTGCAACCCAGCATTTTAGCCTGTGGGACATAGATAAAATTCTAGAATATTTGCTAATGTGGCAGGCGGCCATATCCTGGGTTGCATATGCACTATTATCCAATAAATCTACACACGGGTACCCCTGCTTCAGTTTAAATACGTTTTTGAAACAAAACATCAATTATTTAGTGAGTTACTGTGCATGCGCAAACCCGCATTTTAGCCTGTGGAACAAATTTAAATTTCTCGAATATTTGCTAATGTGGTAGGCGAATATATACACGTACATGTATCTGACAGAATGCTGCCTGAAACACTGAAATGTCAGGGGACCCCTGTAAGCTATGGCATCGTACCATCTTTTACAAGAGCCATAGCAATAAACTCACGGATACCCTCTCTCCAGTTTTAATACGTTTTTGAATCAAAATTTAAGTTATTTAGTGAGTTACCGCGCGTGCGCGAACCCGCGTTTTAGCCTGTGGTACATAGATAAAATTCTAGAATATTTGCTAATGTGGCAGGCGGCCATATCCTGGGTTGCATATGCCCCAGTATGTGCTAAACTCCAACAACCGGAAACATTATGTCCGGGGTACCATCGATAGGGCGTCGTATACCATCTTTTACAAGAGCCATATCAATAACCTTTTATCCAATAAATCTACACACGGCTACCCCCGCTTCAGTTTAAATACGTGTGTTATTAATTTGTGTTGAATATTTGCTAATGTGGCAGGCGGCCATATAAGGTAATAGAAGTACGAGAAACAGAACGTTCGTACGAGAAACAGTAACAAGTGAGTTTGTGTCATTTATATAATATCACGCCGCTTTAATACTGGTTACATCGACACGATTTTTACTTATCACAGCGGACAATAACAATAGTTATTATTAGTAAATATATGAATAAATATTATTAATGACTCAACAGGTAAACAAACAGTTAATAGTGCAATTTACAATCAGTCGCAGGTCAGCGCTGCTCCGACGTCAGCGCCATCTATCAACGTCCGGGGGTTTTACGGGCAGGCGAGGTGCAGGTGGGAAAGGCTGATGGCGTTGTTGCCATTTGTGCACGTGCCCTCGGGGTAGAATGGATGCACAGTCAGCCAGGCGATGTCGCAGCCACAGATCAACGGGTTACCTGTGCACAGAGAATAACAGAGAGCAGGATTAAGGTTTGCTCACGCTTTCAGTGTTAGTAAGTACACGAATTTTAACAAAGCGAATAATAAACAATACAGCGAAAGGATGACGAAAAGACCATACGGTCATCTAGTCAGCCATCCCCTGGTAACATTATAGTACGCCAACGCATCAGCTACAGCGCCACCTACCCGTGAGATCTATATGTACGTGGTCGTCGTGGTCATTGTGGTGATGGTGGTGGTAGTGGTGATGATGATGATGATCAAACAGGTGGTCGTCAAACACATTCCTGGCGAGGGTCGTAAGATGGTTGCCAGACAGGTCGATGTACTGAAGCGAACATCTTATTATCTTATTCTCTTATCATCAGTATTATCTTACACTGACCACCCCATCCTCCCCACTCACACCACTTACGCCAATTTTGAACAAGTTTAAAATTAATTTTCAGAATGGAACGAACTAGTTAGTATAGCAACATTTTCAGGGAGTCACACGGACTCCTGCATAATATGTCAAATCAGGGAGTCCGACAGCAAATCAGGGAGTCTTCGACTCTTCCAGCATCTGCCCCATGCTCCCACCCTCCCACACCCTCACCCCTCTCACCTCAATGTCTGTCAGTCCCCTGAATGCATCCTCTGCGATGTAGTAGAGGTGTTGGCTGGGCATATCGACCGTAAGGATGCCTTCGGTATCATCAAAGGCTCCCGGAGAAATCCACGTCAAAGAGCTGCCAGTGAAGTCTAGATGTTCAACGTGATGAAGACCAGCGAACACGCCCGGCTGCAGCGACACCAGGCCATTGCCGGCTAGCTCCAGAGTTTCCAGGTTTTCGGCTTCGCCCAAGGTGCCCGGTTGTAGGTAAAGGACGGCAGCAGAGGTCAGATCCAGAACCTGTAAGGGGCGTAGTCAGTGTGCTACAGGTCGAAGGCAAACGACTGATTAATCGATATACGATTTGTAACTGCTCAAGCGCGTTGCAGTGTTGCTACTACTCACCTTCAGGTTAATCATGCCGCACAGCGCCTTTGGGTCGATGTACTCAAGGTTGTTTTCGGCCATGTTAACTTTGACGACGACGTAGTGTGCGTGGCAGTCGTTAGGCCCCATATTGGTGATGTCGTTGCCCTTCAGACTAAACTTTACTGCAACAGGTTACATGTGGAGTGTTTAGATTAAACACTCCACTACGGGCAAGTCTTAATTAAATGTGCACTTCTATCATTTTACTGCACTGACGGTGAGGAGCTTGCAAGCAACGATAAATACGACAAGAAAACTATCGAAGCCAACAAAGACAACAAATGACTACTTACAGATGTGGTCGATGATGGTGGGCCCGATGATCGTTGGTACAGCAGTCAGCTTCAAGTAGGAAAGCGTGAGTTCTTCCAGATGATACATCTCTTCAAAGGAGTGTGCATGCAGCACTGGAGCCACCCCGTGGTGGTGACTGTCATCAATCGTTAGCGAGCCGTGTTCAAAGTGCAGGCCGTCAAAGACGTGCTCGGGCACCTCCTCCATGTCATAGAACCCATGCAGCTCGATGCTAGCGTAGGTGACGTCACGGGGCAACGCCGCCATGACGCTGAACGCGTGGCTGCTGGACATATCGTGACCATCGCAGACGATGTTAGGGTAGCCGTTGTAGGGGCTGGTGCATGTACACTCTCCCAGCACGTGCAGCGACGGACACGGAGGGTCGGGGTGTGGGTGAGCGTGAGTGACGGCGATGACCACGGCCGCCACGAGAAGGATGACCAGCTTGCACATGATTGCTGTAGTAACTCTTTGTATCTGTAACTACACAGAGAAACGGAACGAAGCTATACACAAAGCCAGCTCAAATTCACAAGCGCCAGGCCTGGTTCTAATACGCAAGCCAGTAGCGTAGAGAATACAGCAATACGATATCACAGCGAATAGTAAACAAACGTCGCTTCGAATGAGAATCTTTACTAAATACTACACATCTACATCTATATGGTTACGTCGATCTGTCACTCTTGACAATTACTCAACGGTATAAATACTAACCTGAGAATCTCGAGAAATACTCGAGAATCTTAACTAGATACTAAACACGGCGTTTATAGATGCGTAGTCCGCAGAGAACATATAAACTCATAGATAAATGTAAACGTACTTACCTTACCGGCTGCTGCTCCTGATGTCCACCTGACTTGCTGACCAAACGTTGACTGCTTTCTAGCGGCGTTTATACGCGGTCAGTCGGCCTTTTACCTACACGTGACGTGCTATAAGGTCACCGTAAAGGTCACACACACCTGGTCTGGCGTGCGGTGGGTTTCAGTTGGAACTGCTGTGATTGGAGGTAAGATGAATTACCCTGTCACGTGCTTCATTACTAATCGTCACGTGATCGGTCACTCTGCTGTGTCCGCGTCACGTGTGGAAATGACATAAGATATAAGATAAGATATAACAGTTTTATTTATCAACATGTTACGAGGACCCACGTACGGGGAGAACAAGCTATGATCTACATTTGGGAGTTCCTATTTTTTATTGTTTACCCTGAAATTTTTCCCCCTTTTTTTATTTGCAGCTTCTTTTTGTTTTACAAAACACAGCTTCTCACAAACACTGCAACCTGCCCAATTCGCACACTGCAGCTTCCTACTTGCAATTTCTCCATTCACTGTATTCACAATAGAACAATAACAATTGCTTCTCCGCCGAACCAATGCCGATTTATTACAAACTCCTGCTCTACTAACAATAACAACAATAATAACAATGATTATGCACATACTGTGTTATCACGTTACCCATGCAAAGCAGATATCTGTGCAACGTGTCCATGTTGCGTGTCCATGTTATGTATGCATGCGACCTGTCCCAGTAACGTGTCTGTGTTACGTGTCCACGTTATGTGTGCATGCGACCTGTCCCAGTAACGTGTCTGTGTTACGTGTCCACGTTATGTGTGCATGCGACGATATTAATGTACGTGCAGATGGCGCTCGTGCGTCGGTCACCGTTGATGGCCAAGATAATTTTCTTCGGCCGTTTTCATACGTTCAAACTAGTCGCGGGCGGGCCGGGCGATGGCACGTGTGCATGGTAAAATCTGATCTACATGCTTCACTTTGCTCGCAGCATCGCGCCACGTTTACCAGCTATGGTAATGTACATGAAAATGGCGCTCCGACGTCGGTCGCCGTTGACTGCCAACATAATTCCCCTCGGCCGTTCTTATACGTTCAAACTGGAGCCGGGTACACTGACAGCACGTGTGCTTTGTAAAATCCGGTCTATAATATTCACTTTGCTCGCAGCATCACGCCATGTGCTCCCTGCTTTGCCGAGATTAAGTCAGAGAGACTGCATCATAACAATCATCGAAACATAAAACACTCGGCACACATTGGCCCATTTACGTTGAATAAACTTAATTAAATAACGATATTTATACCATAGAACGGAGACCTCTCTATGAAGGGAAATTTTGGTCTTTCCCTTAGATTAAGTAGCGGTTATGTAGCGAAACTATCTCTCTGGTGCGTCCACCTGTCTGTAAAGCTGTTTTCACGACTTAAATGATGATGATTTACAAATTACGCGTTATTGCAATTATGCATTAAAAGAAAATTAGTAGAAAGTAAAATAAATATTTGTGTAATATCAATGTTTCTGAAGGCCAGGAGATTCTTCCACTAGATGGCGCTACGAGGTCAGAAGTCAACATAGCATTTCCTAAGGCCATTGGATGGTGGCGCCCCCAGCTAAAAAGAGCGGTAGATGTTATATAACCTGACGTGGACCAGCATTATATTATGTGCATATCGCCGTCGGCAGTACGATCAAGATGCCGTTCTGCAATTCGCAGATACGCAGGCTGTCGCCGAATTTTACCATGTTTCCCTATAGTCGGATAACCCGAGAATGATTGGAATTCATAATTTCGCCGCATTTCGCTCTAGTTTTATTAGTTTTATTTTTAGGGTCATTTACATTCATTAGGCATATTTTTTTATTTCCGTTCGTATAAGAGCGTTAGCAGCTGCGCCCCCACATATAGCTTCAATTATATCTTTAAGCGTACGCATAATAAGTAAGTAATAAGCTCAAGTGTTACTGTGAGAGTAAAATCTCACGGTGTGGGTGTGGACGTAGGATTTGAATACAAATGTAGGTGTAGATGTAACAAGGGATTTAGATGTAAGCCTGGATGTAGAGGTGTATGTAGATGTAGATACGCAGATGTAGATATAGGTGTAGATGGATTATAAATGTGTTGATATTCGTTTAGATTTCAATAGATATAAGTTTAATAGATTTATAGATATATATATAAGTTCAATAGATATAAGTTTAGATATAATAATAAGTAGTTTTAGATATAAGCAAACGCAACACTCTACTCTACTCGCACCATATCTATGCACCCATGTGCGGGTGTATGTATGCGCGCGCACACGCACACACACACACACACACACACACACACACACACACACACACACACACACACACACACAAACTCTGCGCGCCGCATGCACGCGCGCTGGCACAATCACACATACGCCGCGCACGTACACCGACATACGCATACGGAGCGACACGCACACCACATACGCATACGCGCGCACGCACACCCACATACACATTACGCGCGCATGCACACCCACATACACCATATACGCGCGCACGCCACACCAAATACACATACACGCGCGCACGCACACCCACATTACACGATACGTACGCAGGACAGCCACATACACATACGCGCGCACGACCACCCACCATACACATACGTACGCACGCCACACCCACTACACAATACGCGCGAACGCACACCCACATAAACATACGCGCGCACGCGACACCCCACATACACCATACGCCGGCGCCACGCACACCCCACATACACCATACGCGCGACCGCACACCCACCATACACATACGTACGCACGCAGAACCCACATACACATAACTACGCACGGGCAGCCACATACAGCATACGCCGAACCGCACACCCACATACACATACGCGTTACGTACGCACACCCACATGACACACTACCGCGAGTACGCACACCCACGTCCCACATACACATACGCGCCGAACGCCACACCCACATTACACATACGCGCGCTAGCGCACACCCACATACACATACGTACGCACGCACACCCACATACACATACGCGCGAACGCACACCCACATACACATACGCGCGCACGCACACCCACATACACATGACCGCGGCCGCAGCTGCACACCCACATACACATACGTACGCCACGCACACCCGACATACACATACCGCGCGCACCGCACACCCACATACACATTACGCGCGCACGGACACCCACATAGCACATACGCATCGAACAGCAACACCTCACATACACTAACGCCGCGACCGCACACCCACATACATATACGTACGACGCAGACCCACATACACATACGTACGCACGGGCACCCACATACACATTACGCGAAAACCGCACACCACATACACATCGCGCCGTACGCACACCACATACATCATACGCGCCGTACGCACACCTCACGTCCCACATTACACATACGCCGCGCGAACGCCACACCCGACATACACATACTCGCGCCACGCACACCCACTACACATACGTACGCACGGACACCCTCATACACATACGCGCGAACGCACATCGCCACATACACGTACGCGAACGACCGCTCACCCACAATTACACATAACGCGCGCCACGCACACCCACATACACATACGCTACGCACGCCACACCCACATACACATACGCGCGCGACGCACACCTACATGACACATACGCGCGAACGCACCACTCACATATCACATACCGCGCGCACGCACACCCAGCATACACATACGCCATGGCGCAGCACCCACATACGATAGTGGACGCGCGAACACGCACACCCACATACACATACGCGCGACCGCCACCACCCACATACACATACGCGCGACCTTCATTACGACATGTACGCGCGCGCGCCCACACCGCACATTACACATACCGCGCGCACGCACACCCACGATACACATACGGACAACGGACACCCACAATACACATTACGTACGCAGCGCCACCCACACTCTACACCATCACCGTACCGACGCGACACCCACATAAACATTACAGTACGGCACGCTACACCACAGACACATACGCGGCGCCAACGCACACGCCACATACACATCACGCGCGCACGCAAACCCAAAATACACGATAGACGCGCGCACGCACACCCACGATACACATACGCGCGCACGCACACCCAAATAACACTTACTCGCGCCACGCAAAACGCCATCCAATTTACGCGCGCACGCCCACCTACATACACATTACCGGCCCAGAACGCACACTCACATACATGCACATACGCGCGCACGCACACCCCACATGACACATACGCGCGCACGCCACACCAGCAGAACACATACGTACGCCACACCCCACAGTACACAATACGCAGCGAACGCACACCCACATACACTACTCGCGAGCCGCACAACCCACATACACATACTGCGCGCACGCCACACCCACATAAACATACGCGCGACCGCATACCCACATACACATTACCGCGCGACCGCACACCCACAGTCACACATACGGCGCGCACGCACACCCACATACACAATCGCGCACGCACACTCACATACACATACGCGCGCACGCCACACCCACATACACATACGTTACGAACGGACACCACAGACACATATGTACGCACGCCACACCCACATACACAGACGTGACGAACGGACACCCACATAGCACATTACGTACGCCCACGCACACCCACATACAACATACGCGGCGCACGCGGACACGCCACATAACACATACGCGCGCACGCACACCCAAATACACATGACGGCGCGCCACGCACACCAAACATACACATACCGCCGCGCAACGCCAACACCAAATACACATAACGGCGCGCACGGCACACCCACATTACACATACGCGCGCACGCCACACCCTTACATACACATGACGTACGCACGCACACCCACATACACATACGTACGAACGCGACACCCACATAAACATACGTACGGGCACGCCACACCCACTACCACATACGCGCGCACGCACACCCACATAAACACTCACAGCCGCGCCACGCACACCCCCAAACTACACATACGCGCGACCGCCACACCCACATTACACATACCGCGCGACCGCCACACTCACATACACATAAGCGCGACCGCCATACACATTACGCGCCGCAC